GCTGCAACTTCATTAGTATATATACAATCTAAGAAATGAYCTTTTCAAACACTCTAAGGTTTGTCTCTACTTCATTGTGGTAGAAACTGATATCATGGGAAATGAAAGTAAGAATACACAGGTTGTCTTTATAAACAATTTTTTTTTCCAGCTGAGAATAAAACAMAGGGCYTCACACATGTTATRCAAAAGCTCTATCACTGAGCTGAACCCCCARCCCAACAAGCTGTCTTTTTAAATACATAAGAGTAGCATATAACCTGTCACATTATCGAAACTTTATATATGTTGATAAGTGAATGATCTAGAACTAGTACAGTGGTATGTACATAAAACCATGATGTAAATACAGCATGTGAGTAGATCCTAGGCTACCTGATCAATTTTTTCTAGTGGTACCATTCACAGTGAACAAATTTAATAGTAAGATTATACATTTTATTTTTAGATACTCCATGCTCCTTTACAACATAGTTTTACCTACACACATGGGCCTATACGCCCAACAGCAGAGTCCAAAGGACTCAACCAGGAGGRTCATGGCTCAGTCCTAGACAGAAGCCAAGACCCAGCCCAATTGTGTCAGGGATGGGCAGTCCAGGGGACCACACAAGCAGAGCAGAGCACAGTGCTGCTCCTAGCATGGCTCTATAGCTGCTCTGGGGCTGTGTTTCCAAATTTGGCATCTKTATTATTCACGGGGATTGGTTACATTAGATGAAAAGGGTGCCTCCTAGTTTATAATCTTGGTGGTCATTAAGGAAGTTTTATGCTAGATTTAATAAAAAGCAAGTTAAAAATAATTTGACCAGAAACTAGAAACAATCGTTAGTCTTTGACAGTGTTTTAAAAACAACATAAGCTCCCTCTGCCAAAAAAAAGTGACTACAATTCTTCACAGATCAAGAATCACTTAGAAGGGGAAGTGTTCCRTGAATGTGTATCACAAGTAGTTTTGGAAATCAGTAATGCAAAGTGTGTTTTCCACTTTTCTCCTCTGATGTATACTCTTTAGTCTCCATAAAAGTAAAGATGAGCGGGAGATGAAAAATAGATATCTCTTCCCTTATAAATCTGCATCATACTTAACCAAATAACTGAATTTTATGACTATATTGTTAGAAGAGAATCAATATTTAAGTTGAAAATGTTTATTATACTTAGATCTATAATAGCAATGAATAAATAAATAAGGGAAAAACTACATGTCCATCAATAGGGGATTAGAAAAATGTACAAGTCTATTCATTCAAAGAAATTTTCTGTGGTTAAAAAATAAAATCATGGGAGAGAATATGACATTATCTGGAAAATATTTACAATGCACTTCAAATAATAAAGAATACTTATAAATAATCCTGTTTCTTAAATATTTAAGTGCAAATTGGAACCATAAATGAGTAGTGAGATTATAGATGGAAAAATAGAGTTTCAGCAGTTTAAATGATTTCTAAAAAGTCACATCAGAAGAAGACGTGAAATTAGTTTCAAATTTAAATAAAACTCCTTAAACCCCCAGGCCCAAGTTAATTTTATCACATTTTACTACTCATAAAAAAACCTGCCTAATAAGCCTATATCTTTATCCATGACTCCACAATGGACTTAAATAATTTAATTTGTTTTAACCCCCTTGAAATAAAAAAAAGTTTTGTGTCTTTTTAATACTTCAAACAGGTTATGAGATTTATATTTACATTTGTTTCTCTAATATTTAGCTTATTGGGTCATAGAGGTAAGTACAGATTTGATTTTACAACATAGTTTTATCTACACTAATGGGCCTATATGCCTTACAGTCATTTTGGAGTCAACCTACTCTTTCTGTTAAGGTTCTCTTGCAGAGTTCTCCACCATTTCTGGTGATTCATGGCAGTCTGCAGAACACAACTAAAAAGCTCAGAGCACTTCAGTTTGCAGAAGCGTACCAATACAAAGGGGAAACAGACAAGGCCATCAGAGCTTTGGTTTGATTCTTTCAAAGGCTCTGTAGATGACTGCCTTCTATGAAAACTGTTCCCCAAAAGAGATTGGGTCAGTGAATTCTTACAAGTTCAACGTGAAGTTTCCCTAGCATTCGTCTCTACTCTCCTAGTTTTCTAGCCAAAAACCAAGCTGACTTAATTTCCTCTTCACACAAACTAAAGAGAGGTGAGTCATACAGTTGGCACTTGATAGAAGACATGGCTGATAAATCCTTCCCTGCATTCCTGTTATTTGCTGTTTCTCTATAAGGTTTATGCGGCAAACAGATGTTATGATGRTTTGGTGATGGAAGAAATGGTGTTGGATATGATGATGGTGAAGGAGGAAGAAAACAGGTTTTATAATTAGTAAAGAACATGCACTTTGTCATAAGAGAATGAGGTCAACCTAATGTGAATGAAGGACAGAGTAACCTTTGAAAGACAGACGTTCTTCAATGGCAAAGAAAATAGAGAAATAAGACAGTAAGTCACAGGAAATGAGAATTTTTTTCAAGACAATAAGCCAAGGTGAAGGCTTTATACAAATGTGAATTATTCTTATCCCGCCTGTTTTGGGCATAATGGAAAGAATAAAAGTAATGTACAAAGACTGATGGATTTAAATATGAAAAATTTGCTTCCAGGCCTGGCTATAACACTCAAGACTCAATGATATTGGTGGAGTGACCTGACCTCACTGTTCCCCCATTTGTTCATTTGTGAAAACGAGGGAACACCTGCTTCACCAGGATTGCTGCGTATGTAAACAACAACTCAACAAAAGAAACAAGGAGGGATGGAAGTCCTTGGACTATCCAAAATGCCATGTAGCTCTTGGCTATTTGCTATAATTATCCTCTATGCCAGTAGGAGTTTATTAACTTGGGTAACACTAGTGTGTCGGAAAAAATTGGAATAAAAAAATTTTTAACTCTGGATGTCATTTTTATGACCCAGGTTGTAACAATGATAACATTTTAATTTTCCCAGGTTATAGAAATGCTTATACTGAAACGTATAAATAAGCTTCCTAAAAAAAGGCATGAACTTGAAATGGAATCAAGSTTCAGAGGAGGTTATCACTGGGTGACAGGATTTATTTATCTTATAGTGGTTGGAAGAACATCAAGGAGCAGTAGGATGGATGAGCAGAATGAGAAAGAATTTAGGAACAAGATAAATTTTGGATCAGTGTGGGCTTCTTTTGGGAAAATTTTGTACCTCACCTAAACTTTCAGTTTTTTTGKTTTTTGCCTATGCAATGGATAAAATAATGAGTGTAATGATACTTGTCTTGCAGAGTTAGCATGTGGATTCAGTTAAATTAGTTTAAATAATACAGAGTCCTGCAGCAGAGCCTAATGCATGTACCCAGGAATGTGTGTTGTTATCACATTTTCCCACAATTCCTTCCATACATACTTGCACATGTGGTTTGCCCATATTTTCCCTATTCCACTTCTGTTTTGGATACTGTCCTTGTTGTGTAGCCTCCCTGTGTCTACCAGGGTGATCCTCACATGGGGGTATTTTAATGTAAACTCTAYCTTGTGTCTATCTCCTTATAATAAAATCATACATTCTTTTGTTGTCTTTGAATTATTCTATTGATTCTGCAAAGGGGTCCTRTTGAACCTAGTACAGAGATGCGTAGGGATCCTGTGACCACTGCAGACCCTAAGAGTCACAATAATAGGGGAAGAACACTGTAACAGGGAAATTCAGAGAGCTTCTCTGATGTTCTTCACTTCTTCAGAACTATATGAAAACACAATATTCAGTGAAAAATGTCACTTTTTATTTTCCTGGATGAAAAAATAAATGAAGGTTTTCTGAATGTTATTTCTATGTTGTATGTTGTATTTGTATGTTGTATGCATAGGGGTGTGTGTGTGTGTGTGTGTGTGTGTGTGTGTGTGTGTGAATGTTAATCAACTTCCTTTTCTTTTGCCTTTTAGCCTTTCTCCAACTTCTTTTAAATAGAGTTTTGTCTCTTTTTGGCCTAGTGAAGTCCTATTCATCCAGTTAAATGCTACTTCTTCTAGGAATTCTCAGATTACATAAGACCCCTCTCTTCCCACCCAAAAAATAAATGGAGTTTATCTTTTCCTTGTATATCATAGTATTTTGTTGTTCTATTAGGTGTCTCTGCAATCAAGGTCTATTCCTTCCACATGTTMCCAACATATAACACAATGTTTGTAATATAGTTGGCACTTGTATGAATTTTGGTTGAAGGTGTGGTTGATTAACCCTGATTTCGTCTTATTTCTTGTAGGTTCTTTCTTAGGGTTTGCAGTATGTGACAATGTGGTACTATTTTAAGAGTTGGGAAATGGGTTGAAATTGGGTTGAAGTTGAAGACAAGCCTCTTATTTCCTGTTTTCCATCTTTCCCAAGTTGTGTTACTAATTTTTAAGTATATCACAGAAACCTCCATTCCAATTTCACAAACAGTATTCTCTCAACATCACATTAGGAAAAGAGTAATTTGAAATAATTCTTAAACAATACACAGAGTACCTTGCAATATGTTGTAGCTACTTTTCTCAGAAAAATCATAGGAGAATTTTTTTTGATATTTTCTTTATCTGCATGGTGACTTATAAGGCATATTTAAGAAAATTCTATATTAAGGGACAGAGATTCCAATAACTTTATTAAGTTAATAGTATGATCAATTCCTGGAATCTCAAATTCTCCATCCCTTTAATTCATGCAGTCACATCAAATGTCCAGTATATATATATATTACTGTTTAAAGCCTTTCAAATACTCTGTGTACAGTCACAATGATAATTCAAAAGTAAAATAAACTGACATTCCCCACCACAAAGATCCTTGAAGAAAACGGAAAACAAAAACCACATCTTTGTTGAATCTAGTTTGCTTATATTTCAACACACATAATTCCACTGAACTGGCCATCACAGCAAAAGCCACAACACACACACACACACAGCAGCATGGAGCTAACCACACAACTCAACAGACAGTGCAGACAAAYTTGAGTATAAACCAAGATTTTTCTACCTCTTTTCATAACAGGTTAGTGCTGGCCCTCAGTGTTGGTGTACAGTTTTTATGGCATGGGAAAATAGGGATGTTTCTGCCCTATAAAAATAAATGTGTTGAAGGCTTTAGTTTGAGCTTATACAACGTCAGAAAGTTCCAAAGGCACTGGCACAATACAAAAATAAATAAATAAAAAAGAATCCCACAAACAAATATATATCACCAAAACACATCGCAAGGAACTAAGAAAACTCTAGTGGAAAAGCTACTGGTTTCCTGAATGATTTATGCAAACACCTTCATGAAAAATAAATAACAGGAGAGGCATGCTAGTGGGTCTGTGGTGGGGTGTTATCTTGTCACCAACCAACATTCATGTCAAGTCTCCCCACAGAGGTAGAAAGCACAGAACATTTGTTCTTTTTTGGAGGGGTGGGGTTGGGGGTATTTCTGGGGATTTAACCCAGGGAACACTTAACCACCTTTTTTATTTTTTTTTATTTTCAGATAGGGTTTCATTAAGTTGCTTAGGGCCTCATTAAGTTGCTGAGGCTATTCTCCAGTTTGCGTTTCTTCTGCTTCAGCCTCCCAAGTCATTAGGATTACAGGCRTGTGAGCCACTGTGCCCAGCAACACTTCTTGTCCTTAATATTTTAAGCCTAAGGAAGAGCTAAGGTAAGAATGTAGAAATGCATGCATTATCTTTAATAAGGACAAGAAYACATGGAACAAAAATATAAAGAAAAATTCTTAGTTCCTTCATTTTATATATCATATTGCACACTTCTTTCCAAATCTTAGTCTGACACAAATTATAGTTCATGTGTGACATCTTTATCTACTCTACAAAGGGCTGGGACAGAAAGATAAGCATGATTTTCTCTATTTGAATAAAGGCAATACTTTKGCTTTTACATCTAAGAATGCATGGTTGGTAATGGCTCTAGAAATAGGAAAGCTGCAAAAATTTCATTGGACTTAATGATTTGTAATTCCTCAAAAAATAAAACTTACCACATTCTGTGCAAATTTCTCAAAAGATGTTCTGCGATCCATTGAGTTTCCAGACTTATATGTGTGGGTTGGGGTAGGGTGAAGGGAAGTAAGGGAACATTAAAAAAAAAAAAAGCAGCAAGAAAAACAGAGCAGAAAAAGACAGAATGATGAAATGATGCAATGTTAAGTCCATATTCTAAATCACAGGCCCCCGAAGGTAGGAGAGTTGCCAAAGGAGGCCTTTGGCCACAGGATCTGGGCACTGTTTTCATTAGTGCTTTTATTTTAAACACCAAAAGCTCTTATGCAAACAAAATGGAATGATTCCAAGTAAAATCAAATTAAGAAAATATGTGAAGCTTTTATGCAGACATTTGCAAAGCTTAAGTATTCGAAAATTTCATGTTATGTATTTGGAATTTTCTCATAATTTTCTGTCAAGGCTAAATTTTTGTAGATAACATTATTAAATCTGTAAAGCATTGCTGTAGAATAGACCTTTCCATAAGGATGAAAACTTTATTCAACACTGCCTGATCCTTAAACCTTTAGCTTTGGTTATTGAACACTTGATATTTGGCTAGAATTTTATGCAATTTTAATTAATTAAAATTAAAATTTAAACAACTCYATGTGGTTAATGTCTGCTGTATTTGGACAGGGCACACAGAATATCTATTTCCAGATGCAAAACAATGCACTTAAAAAAATCTCATTAGACTAAATGCATGAATTACACAAGGTATAATTTAATCTCAGAAGTTCAATAAGTTATGGATTATTTTAACATTAAAAAGCAATGAATAATGTTTATGTTTATGTTGTATACTCTTTTATATTGATCACATTAGGACTTATGAACAGTAAGACTTTGATTAGAAGCATTAATTGAATAATGAGGTCTCTCTCCATATGTGCTTGGCTACCATTTTAAAGGGTGTAAAATTCATCACAGGGATACTTAGTAATTTGGAATAAATGCCAAGAGACAATGAAAACATAACTACATTTTGGCAGCTATCATTGAAAAAAGTAGGTCTATTTTTAGTTGTGAACATGCATTCAAGCTTTTCAAATAAAGCCATTTTCAAATTTTTGACTCTTGTTACTTTATTTATTATAATATTTGATTTCCTTAAACTAGGCATGTAGAAGATTAACATGAAACATGAAAACAGTTTCTCATATATTTTATAAAGCAAGAACATCTGCAGAAACAAACAAAAAATAATACAATAAGCAAACAACCAACAAAAACAAAAACAACTTAAATGGCCCTTATAAAATGAAAGGATTAGGGGAGGGTCTTGAAGTATGTTCACTTACCATTAGTTTGATACCCTGGGCCAAGCAGAGGCAATTAGTCCAAATAATTATAACTGAGAACTAGCTCAAGAAAGAACCAATACCTTTTTCTTTGCCTGTAGAAGTTCCTGATAGGCACTGGATCTTATAAAACGTGGGTATGAATCACTTTTCATCAGTTTGTAAATATGCTCCTGAAAAGATAAAATGGTTGAGGTGCTTTTTTATTATTTTTCAGGAAAAGTGAACTATTATGATAAAAACATAAAATGTGGTTAAAGAACAAATTTAGTGGCAGCTAATCATAGTAATGACAATGCTAATGAAAATACCTATGTTTATAGGACATTTATATCTTCCGATTCATTATTTGATTCATGGATACATGTTTTAATTGGTTTGGGAGCTACTGAGGAGGAAAATCACATCCAGTCATGCTTTTTTAAAGATGGAATCTGGTTAATGGTTAATGGGAAGTAATGAAATAACTTTGAATCACATTGTTGATTTATACCTAGCATATTTGAGAATATAAATAAGTCTGCTATCTTTTAAAATTACTCCAGGCCAGAAGCAGATGTTGTGAAGTCAAGACTGAGTAATCATCCTAGATACCTTTGGCCTCCACATTTACTGGGAGGATACAGACAGTCCAGATGAATCATCTCCTTGGTACAAATTACATGGAAAATTGTCATCCACACCTACTTTGGGTCAGAGCTCAAGTCCAAAAAAATTTGTTTTTGGTGATACTTAATTGTTAAGTCTCCAAATTCATTCTCTTTTTTTCTCACCCATGCATAGAAAGATTAGGTAAATATCAGATCACTCATCTGCAATAAAACTGCAATGTTCGATTTTGGTTTTCTTTTTCCAGTTCTAGGCAGCAAATGCAGGGCCTTTCAAATGCTAGGCAAGTGCTCTACCACCAAGCTACACTCTCAGTACCCATTCTATTTTAGTGATGAATGCTGGTAGAAAAAGAAGTCAAACAAAGAAAAATTGTATTCATCTGATTCATACTTGATCTATTCCTGGATGATTCTGCTCTGGTCTGTTGTAATTCAAGAAAGATTAAATGCTCCTTAGTCTTCCCAGTCTAGAGAAATATCAGTCAAATATATAAGCTATTTGAGARTCACCTGGATGTCTGAATCTTTTCTTTGAAGAAAATACATATTTTAAAAAATGACTSTTTTGGTTTTCATTTAACACACCAGTAATAATTTGAAGTTATTCAGAAATCACTAAATGACTGTCATGATTAAACCTCAAGATCTAGCCAAGGTTGAGCTTTTAGAACATGGTAAATTTGGAAGTGTATTGGAATTTATTTAAAAGTAGAAAATAATTCCTGGTTTTGAAGTTAAGCATTTGGGGATTCAGATCCTGCCTTTCTTAAGATCAACCACTTAKAAACAACTACAATTTAGATCAATTTATTCATTTCTCCAATTCTTAATTCTCTAATTTATAATATATTATTGTTATGAGGATTAAAGGAATGATAAATGCTTAGCAGAGTTTGGGGTATGCACAATAAATGCTCAAATATACATAAGCATAGGCCAGGGAATCGTCTAGCAAGCACAGGCCTATGTTAGTCAATTTAATCCTCAAAAAGCCYGAAAGAGGTTGGTGACCAATATTATGTCCATATAAGACATGAAGAAACTGAAGTGTGGAGAWGTGCAATATTTCTAAAATGTTACCCAGCAGAGTTCAGATCAGGACCCAGGCAATTTAGCTCCAGAGTCTTCATTGTTAACCATTACATCACATTTCTTCTCACATAATAGCAGAAATTTCTAATATTACATCTCAACAACAGGATAACACACATTTGGCTACACACACACACACACACACACACACACACACATACACACGAGTTAAATATCTGAGCTTAATTGGTGAAAAAAGTAGACTCTTAAGATCTGGTAGTAATGTTTCCTATAGATGAATATTCCTTTTCATTTTATTGGGGATCCTATTAAGGAAGAATATTTTTCAATGACAGATAACTAAGAAAGATTCTGTTTAAGACTTCAGGAAGGAAAAAAAAAGACTTCAGGAAGGGCATTCCAAACATTTTATAGAAAAATGTCCACATTTTATCTTGAACCTAAAGAAAGATAAATCACAAGGGAARTGATCATTAGGACCAGAATTTTCATTCTGCTCTCTGTCATGTGTCTCTATAAAATGTMATTATTTTTACAGAGGAGACCATGGCTGAGACATGTGGGATGGGGGTGTTCAGTTAGTTGTTAAAATTTGTGTTATTTTACTACACATTGGTTCATTTCTTTAAACTAGAGCCAAGAAGAAAGTTATTTTCTACCAAGAATAGAAATAAGGAAGAACATTTGTGTATCTCACTATCAGTTCATTATGTTAGTAATATTAAAAACAAGAAAATTTTCAGAGCTAATATTCATTTTAAAAGAAGTAGGGGCCATGAGTGTGACTCGATGGTAAAGCACTTATTCAGAATGTGCAAAGCCCTAGGTTCAATGCCAGTAGTGCCCCCCTCYCCCAAAAGAAGAAGTTACAAAGCATACATGTTCTTATTTTTCAGTTTTCTTTCTAAGCACCAATACTTTTCTGGAGGAAGTAGAAATTCTAACTAAGGTTCAGAGAAGAGAACACCAAAAATTTATCTTAGAAGTTAAAATCAATTTCYTTTTTTGTAGATGGAAAATTAACAAATGCCTGATCTCTTATTTAATTTTTTTCAGCAAAGACAAAATTTGTTTGACAGAAGGTTAAGCAAATTTTGAAATGACCATTCATAAATACTGAATAATCTAGGCATGTGAGAATCTCAAAATCTCCATATTGAAGACACAGAAATGTATGGTACCAAGGTGGGGGTCACCATTAATGTTTACTGAAATACTGGGTACCAAATAAGGAAGAAAATAAAGTAAAACTTTTCAAATACTTCAAGTATGTTTCTTCATGAAATTTTCTTATAAAAACCTATTCAAATTTATAAAACATTCCCAGGATTTAAAAAAAATAGTTACTTTAAAATACATTTGTTCTTTTCTAGATCAGTGAGAGTTATTTTGCATATAACCACCTAAATTGAAAATATTAAAAATAACTGCCAACAAGAATGAAAATAAAATGAAAGTTTCACCACTGTCCATGTCCAGGAGAGCTTCTGTGACATGAGGCCTGTTGTGTACCAACCTGAGCATCTTCGAATGTGTATCGTCCAGGTTCCTTCACGTTCTGTGTGGTTTTGTCATAACTCTTGGAATCCAGGTTGATGGCACTGGGGGCTCCTGGAGCCAGAAATTCTTGCCATATTTCCTGAACTCTTGAGGGCACTTCTCGAATAGGCCTTTTCTTCAGGTCCTCCACTGCTAGCCAGAATCTATGCAAAATGTGACACTGAGCTTTTACTTCAATGGTTTATAATCTGAAAAATTCTTGTAATATTTACTCATCATAAACCTCATCCTGATTCTTAACAGAAAATTCACTTTCTGAGGGCTTGCAATATTAGACCTGTATTGGCTTTTCCTCATAAGTTATATGCAAAGGTAAAAATTTTCTTTGAAAAGAAATACRGAAAACCTCTTACTTGGTTGTGATTAGAACCAAATCTGAGCTCTAACTTTATTGAAGCAACGTAGCACTTTTAGAGAAGCTTTTATTAGAAAGGAAGAGGAACTAGGGCTGGGGATATAGCTCAGTTGGTAGAGTGCTTGCTTCACATGCACAAGGCCCTAGGTTCAATTCCCAGTACCACCACCCCCCCCCAACCAAAAAAAGAACTTGATTTGTGGTTGGGGATGTAGCTCAAGTGGTAGCACGCTCACCTGGCATGCGTGAGGCACTGGGTTCGATCCTCAGCACCACATAAAAATAAAATAAAGATATTGTGTCCACCTAAAAAAACTAAAAAAAATAAATATAAAAAAAGAAAGGAAGAAAAACAAGAAGGGAAGGTGTGCTCACAGAGCTTCTAATGGGGGGTTGTGTTTAAAGTAGTATATTATTCTGTATTCTTTGGATCTTTAGTCCATTTCAGGAGAGGCATTCCTGCTCTACTTGGTAGGGAAATTACCACAAAGCTTTCCTGGAATTAAAAGAGGCCTGGATATAAAATGAGAAAATGCTCTAGCAGGAAATATCAGGCAATTAACTAATTTTAATATTTCATTGAGTTACAGAGTGACAGCGCAACAAGCTTTTATATGTGATTGTGTGAAAGACTTAAATTTGCAGAGGCATCAGAGCATTTTAGAAGCCAGAAAAATATACATTGGTTTACTTCTGAATGTATGTTTATATAGAGAACATTTATGCTGAAGGAACACTGAAGTATGTTATGGCTGAAAAAAGCAAATAACAAAACATAATGAGAAGGTACCACGGTGAATTATGGGTTTAATWTTTAAAAAGTTTATCTAGGTTATTTCAGTTGGATCTAAAAATAATCTTGAAAAGATTAAAGTTCATATTGCAATAATTTGTAAATGGAAAAAAATATGTGATAAAGGAACTGGGAAGCTTGTTATCCCCAACAGGCACAATATCATTCTACTGATATACGTGAGCATCAAATGGAGAATCCAACTACAGAAGTGCAGGRAATTGAGGCTGCAGAGTCAGGAGAAGCACAAAGTGATAAGCAGTAGCTTCCTTTCTACTAAATTTTAACATGGGCATTAATGAAAGGTCAGAAATCAGTGGGCTGGGGATGTGGCTCAAGCGGTAGCATGCTCGCCTGGCATGCGCGGGGCGCTGGGTTCAATCCTCAGCACCATATAAAAATAAAATAAAGATGTTGTGTCCACCGAAAACTGAAAAATAAATATTAAAAAATTTTCTCTCTCTCTTCTCTCTCTCTCTCTTTTTTAAAAAAAAATCAGTAAAAAGTCACTTRAATTACAATTAAGAGTATCAAATACTACTCAGACTATTGATTTTTCAGTTTTCATTTCCCTCTTGTTTTGTTACAGAGATAATCCAATGTGGACAAAGCCTTAAATATGAAACAGCCATTATTACTTTCAGAAAGGAAGGAGCAAGACTTGTCTTCCTAAAACACATATTTACATACTGTGAAGTCCAATAGGATATACCATGTACAGTCTGAGGCTGCATGAGTGTTGGAATTGATGCTCATTTAAGCTGATTTCAGCATACTTTGAAGACATCAATCAAAAGAAAGTCTCAGTCCTCAAAGAACTAGTAGTGAAAAAAGACCACTTCAAAGGTCAGAATCCCAGGAAGCACATGAGAAGCTCTTAGGAAGAGTATAGGCCAGTCAGTGTTAGAATGCTGAGCAGGAAGAAACCCCAATGCTAAGGCTAGCACATGGCTGTAAAGGTGGGGTCTAAGAAAACTCTTTGAGATATAGCGACATCTGAAATGAAATGGACCTGGAAATAAGGAAAAAACTGTCAAAGTGTAGAGATGTTAGTAATAGCACGTACACTGATACGGGATACAGGTACTACGTACTTGTTTACCATATACTTATCAATCTGTATCTTCAACTAGTCTCCACAGCTCCATAAACTAGGTGCTATTATTTCCCCTGCATTAGAAGAGGAACTGAGCATATGAAGATTAAGTAATTTATTTAAGCTTGTCCTCCATTAGTGGTATAGCTGAGGTTTTGTTTCTGGAAAATCTGTAGCAGATGTCAGGCTCATAACCACTCCTTCCCACCGTCTCCCTAAGAGCATCATTGCCTTTCTTATCCCCATCATTGCTGTAATTGTTTTAATAGCTTAGTAGAATGGAACAGGCTCATTTAAAATCCTACATTTTAAATTTAATAGTAGCTGGAATCTAAGGAAACTTTTTAATGTCTTTAAGTGAAGTCTTGCTTTCCTCCTCAATAAAATGGAATAACAATGCCCATCTCCGTGAAGTTCCATTGGATTAAATTATATAAATTTATGTAAAGGCCACTGACAAATGCCAGGTATATTTTTAGGCACTCAATGATAAAATTCATGCTATTTATATATTTCTTTAGCATGTGCTTTATGCTAGAGCTCTGCCTGAAAAGGGAATGAACAAAACACATATCAGTAGACAGCAGGGGTGTATTTGAGTAACATGTGGTTATGGATAAGCAGGGTTTTTTCACTTTTTTCCTGTTCTAATGTTTGAAGAAAAAGCTCATGTGACTGGCACATTCCCATGAAGGGTAGGTCCCTAGAAGGCTGCTGCTGCTTAGAAAAGATGTACTTAAATGTACTTAATTCATAGTCCTCTTGGCTAASTGGACCCTGGCATGTGATTCAGATAGTAGGTGAAAGCAGGGTGGGGCTCAGATTTGGGAATCAGTGGACAGTAGCTTGGTAATGGTTTATAAAAACAACAACAACAACAACAAAAACAAGAATGCTACTTACATGCAATATGAGTTTGCATGAGGTGTAAAACCAGCTCAGACATATTTTGTTTCTCTCTAAAGTGAGGCAATAATACTTACATTGTTGGGATTATTAGATGCGTGATGATCAGAMATAATGAAAGGCAAATAAATGTAGCACAATATGATTCACAGAAGTAGCAGATATAAAACATATTCTGGTGTATGTTAGGTGTTCGAAATTCTATCTGCAGTTATATCATTCTGTAAGTCATTTATCTATACTTAGCAAGGAAACATGGTAGGTATATAGTAGATATTCAAGGAGTATATATATATATGTGTATACATACATAAAAATATTGAATATTTCTTATATGTAATTATTTAGTATGGAAATCAGTATGGCATGGAATTAAGACAAGAAATGGTTAAGGCTTGATTGAACTAAGGAATGGGCAATGATTCAATTCATGTGTGAAGCAGAATATTCACATGCTACTCTCTTTGCCCCAGAATTTCTTCCCTCTTCCTTTCTTGCTTGGATATCTTCTTATCAACAGCTCTCAGCCTGGAAGACATTTCTCCTAGTATATCTTTGCCAATGTCTAACTCCAGGTTAGGCATTCTCCAATACTTCTCCTATCTAAACATCCATCATTTTGTGTTGTGACTGGGTGATGCTGGTAAGGCATGTTACTTATTTCCTCATCACAAATAATTATAATGTCATCATATTTTTAAAAACTTAGAGCAAAATTCACCCTCCCATTCTCTAATATTCTAAAAATATCCTTTTATCTTTATTTTGTATACATTCTTGCTTCAATAACTAGTAATATGACTTAGATATACAAAGTGTTATTAGCAGGCCCAATAAAACTATATTTGCTAAATTGCAGGTCTTGCAAAAGCCCGGCTAGAAAGGATTCCCAGAAACTTGAACAAGAATTGGAAAGTGCTTCCCAACAGTGCATGACAGCACTCATAGAAAATTCCAGATTCTGTTTGTGGGCATTCTGCTCCATTCAAGAGACATCTGTCAATGTTCTACATATTTCTGAATGGTTTGTTATTAGTATCTGTTAAATCTCCCGAAAAGAATGTGACAATGCCTGGCACTGCTTAGTTCCAAGGAAAATAGATGAATTTCACAGGACTCTGTAAGTCATGGGAAAGTAAAACTAAGGTATGAGGTTTCAAAAGGATAATGAATTAAAGAACACATGCAAAAAGAGTTTCTTGTAGTGAAAAGTTATCACTCATTTAAATGATCTTAAACAGAACTATTAAAATCCACTCTAATGTCTCCTTTTAAAAATGATATTTTCAGGTGCCCTTTAAACTAGAAAATTTAAAAATMCATAAGGATGATGTTTACAACCAATGAGCAGAACACATGTGTTGCCTCATTAACAGCTCTTCAGGGCTCTTACCTGTTGTGAAGCTGTATTTAAATGAGCAAAGTAAATGAGCTGCCCCAGAGCTTTGTCTCAAAATATTTGACATAGTGTTGACTCCCTTCTCCAACTTACTTGAGAAGTCATACTCACAGAAGGTCAGAATTGATAAATAGGTGATATGTTTTAACAGCATAAATACCATTGGCYATTCTCCACTTCACCAAACATGGCTCTAAGTGCTACGCTTCTTTGTAGAGTTCATTTCACAAGTACTACACTTATACAGTTAAAAATCCAGAGACAGTGTAAAAGTCAATTATTGTGAGGAATTGATAATAATGGACAGCTTTTGTCTTTTCCCTTCTATTAGATGGCAGAAATTCAATGTGTTCATACCATCATTACAATGTTGGCAGAAGTGTAATTGGTTTCGTGAGTCCAAAATAACGCAACATCAGAGAGAGTGTTGCTCTGGCTTGTGGTGTAAGAATCAAGCAGTGTGTCTTACCTTAAGTTTTCTGAGCTGAATTCTGACTCTAGAAATTTAAGGAACTGTTCTCTCCCAACTGGGTCTTTCAATGCCTCATCCATGCCAAAACCCCATCGTTTTACCCTCTGTTGGCTCGGTTCTTTGCTATAGAAGATAAAGCCAAATATAATTCTTTCAGTACAACTCCTATTTTCTTTTATTAGATTTGTCCTCAAAATCATGTATGCTTTAAAATTACATTTCTTAACTGATCATTCAGAAGAAAAATAAGTATCTGATTGATGGTTCTTAATAAAATCATGGTGTATTATAAGAGTAACATTAATATCTTACTTTTATTAGGTGAATTCGGTGCTAAATGGTCTAAATAAATTATCCTATTAATTATTTTTCCAGTAACTTTATAAGTACATTCTTCTTCTTCCCATTTTATAGATGAGGAAATGAAGGCATGAAGAGAGTTATAACTTTCCAATGTCAGACAAGTAACAAGGGGCAAATATCCAGACAGTCTTACGTTAGAGCCCCATTTCTTAACCACTAACAAATGCATAATGGGGGAATGTACTGGTGGTGTGTGTGTGAAATGCACTTGTATTCAAAATGACATACTAATGTGTAACTCTGCTGTAATTAAACATATGACCTATTCCTGGTGAGTCATGACTTTTGGGGGATTCCAAGTTCCTCATATGTAAAATCTATAAATTATGGCTGAGGAGTCTAGACTCATCAAGTGTTTAAGATCCATGGCTGGATATGGACGAAAAAGAAGGTCTATAATGCAATCTTGAGAAGGGTTAGAGTACTAATCCTCTCTGTATAAAGAGACATGCAATGATCTCTGCATGACTGCCCAAATTGATATAGTATGCTTCTCCTATAGAGTCTTCAATTGTGCTTTAGTTTTCTTAAGTCAGTTTGTTTTTTAGTGTGTTCATGGTGAGTTCATTTTGTTTTAAAACTGAATTTATAAAGGTATACTTATATTAAGCTTAATTAAGTAAATAGGGATTTAGTATTATTTTGCTTGAATACATGGGCCTTTTTGGCTATGTGGATTTTCAAAGAAGCTAATAGCCATGAGCTAAATTTCAAGAACTGAAGATCTGAAACCTGACTWATCCAGCTAGAAACCTGTACTTCTAATTTTACAGCAGTGCAAATATTTTTTAAAATTAAATTTATTTTTATATTGATACATAAAAATATGAACAATTATACATATTTATTAGAGTACCCTGTGATATTTCAATACATGTATATATCATGTAATGTGTAAATCAGGGTAAACAACTATTTCATCAAATGTTTATCATGTCTTTATGGTAAATACATTCAGAACTCTTTATTTTGCTTCAAGAGATAGTACATAACTTTTATCTATAGTCACACTACAGTACAATAGCATACCCAAACTTACTTCTGTGTAACTATAACTTAGAACCTGTTGGTGGACCTTTCCTGACCCCTTTTCTCCCCAGCCTCTTGTAACCACCATTCTCAACTTCTCAACTTCTCAACTTCCATAAGATCAACTTTAAAAAAAAAAAAAATTCACATATGAGTGAGAATATATGATACTTTTGTTCCTGTGCCTGGCTTATTTCACTTAACACATTGATCTCCAGTTCCAACCATGTTGTCATGAATGACAGATTCCATCCTTTTTTAATGGCTGAGTAGCATTCCATGAACAATGCAAATCTTAATGCAAAAGCAAATGCCTGGGGTTTGAAAACCTCAAGCAATATCTTGAATGATAATGTTAAATCATGAATCAAATGTAAAGAGTAAAACCATCATTATAATTAACCAATTACAGGGTTCTTCCTATTTCACACAGTCCCTGAAATAAGTGACATATCTGTKAGGAAAAGAAAATGTCACTTACCTTGCTTCAAGTTCCCAGAAAGTAGTATCGTCAGACAGCCATGGATTAGAAGGGTCAGGTGGCACAAGAAATGGGTCGTATTCTACATACTGTTCCGTATAACTTAGTAGACTAGGGAGGAAGAAAAAAAAATTCCTCAGCTTTTCTGGCTGAAGTTATACCCAGTCCAAAGAAAGAGAAGCAATATAAAAATTCTGGGTCAAAGAGTCCTTTCCCAATTACAGAATAAAGCCCAATGGCAAYTTTCATGTTTCAATAACATGAACGCAACAACTTAGTGGGCTTTTTGGTGGACAAATTTAGTTAAAGATTCCTATCTTTATCTATCCCACGCCTGAGCTATTAAGTCACTACACTTCCATTAAAATKAAGCAACATGGAAGAGGTCTGCATGTTGAAGGGCAGCAGGAAGGGTCTGTTCCAATCCTTTGTTAACCAGGAAAAGGGATTAAAAGGAAATCATTGCCAACTGTAATTACAGGAATGAGGCAAAAGGAGAATCACTGACAAAAATATACTTTTAGAAAACATTTACATTTAGTTGGTCATGATGGCACACGCCTGTAATCCCAGCTTGGGAGGCTGGGGCAGGAGGATCACAAGATTGAGGTAGCCTCAGCAACTTAGCAAGAACTTTAGCAACTCAGTGAAACCCTGTCTCAAAATAGAAATAGCGAAAGCTCTAGGAATGTGGCCCAGTGGTTAAGCACCTCCTGTTAAATCCCCAGTAAACCTGCCCCTAAAAAAWTTTTTTTTTAAAAATCTGTGTTTAAAAATTGAAGGAAGAAGAAAGAAAATAAGTTGGAGAGATAGGTTTTGGCAATGCCCCAAAGTGAAGAATTTGAATTTCATTAAGAGCAGATTTTTAAAAAGAAGACAAATCTAAAATTTGAGATTAATTCAAATTCTGAAACCATGCAATAACAGAGTAGACTGTGAATGTTCAGATCAATTTATAGAATCTCAGAGTTGCCAAAAAACAGTCAGTAAATTAAGGTTCAATTCTTTAAGTAGAAGTGAAAAGATTTAACTCCTTGGCTGTATCTTATTGTTGACTGCACAAAGATAGAACCTCTTGGGATTTAAAGCAATAATGATCATGCTTCCCTTTAAACTGTAACAAATGAATGCTTTGAAAGCTTTCTATGTGTATAAAGAAAATACAAAAACCAATTATTTATCTTAGTTCCCCTTCCAACAGTTGGTTCTTACTACATATTTAACTGTCTCAAGCAATTTTTAAATTTACAAAGACATCTTGAAATACTTACCTATCAGCAACTTTTGACATTTTTAATCGATGTCTGTCTAACTGTATTTGCCAATATTTTATCTGAAAAGAAGGTTAGAGAATTAGTTACACAAATGACAACACCACAGTTTTCACCTCTAAATTCTCATAGGGCAATTCCAAAAAGGTGTATATCCTGTCGGTAAAATTTCAAAGTTGACAAATGCAGAGCACTCTGAATAGTTAACAAAAAATGAAAATGTATTTGAATGTAAACATAACCATATATCTTAAGAACAGCACAGTTTGAATGTTTTACTTACTATAACAAAATGTAACTTTATTAGAAAAGGGTTCTGGAGTTTTTAAACATTAATTCAAGGTGAATAATCAAATCCATTCCCCACAGATATTTAATTAAGAAAATAAATGTATTTTTAATTTTTTACTATAATTTCAAAATAAATCCTATCTCCTAAGACTATCCCAAGAAAGCATCAGTCAGATGTGTTTTGAGAATAATTTTATGAAATTATGACACATGCTTACATGGATGTAAACACATAGAGAAAAACTATAAAAATTTTTCTGAATTGCTTTTCCTTTATGGTGATTATAAATACACTAGAAAATTCTAAATCACATTATTGATGAACCATACTATAACAAAATAACAGAAGAGTCCAAAATGTGGAGGAGGAATGATGATTAAACCAATCAAGAAATTTAATTATTACTGGATATTAGAAATTGATGTTTGCTTTGAAATATTTATTGAAGCAAAAACTATTGATCAATGATTTTTAAAAAGAAGCAATATATCCTATGATTGTATACCAGTGTTGATAAGAAAAAACTTCCAAAGGTTTGAAGACATCAGTACCACACAAATAAAAATCACAATTTTTTTGTGATGATCACTTAGCAACATTAGATATGGGACTTAATGTCCCCAATCTCTTGTCCTCTCATTAGCAACTTCATTACATTTTTACCTGCAAATATTCTATATGAAATAGGTGACCATACAAATTACCTTTTAAAATACCCATTATGAACATTTGCTATCTGGTTGCATAGTGAATGTTAATAGTGATAAATAATCATTTGAAAGTCATTTTCTAGGCTGACTCACCTGTTGATGCAGCTCATCTTCTGTTGGAGGTTTAGTTTCTGGTGTGGGTGTGTGGGTAGGACTGTGACTTCTAATATCATTTTGTAAACCATAGACAGACTATATTAAAATGAAAAATAAATRTTAAGACAAAATTCCATTCATAGTCACAGATTTCTGGGAAAAAAATTTGCGTCACATCTTCAGTAAGGTAGCTCAAAATTTATTTAATGAAGCATCTATCAAAGTCCAAAAGGCACTGCTATCAAAAATAAAATTTAATACATAACATTTAATAAGTATTGATTCAATAATAAAATAGAGGTGGATATAAAATAAAATAGAAATTTAATAACTCATGAGAAGATAAAAATTACCTGATTTTCACATAGGAAGGAAATGGAACACTGACAAGAAGGACTATGTTGCAGATTCTGCTGCCTTGTTTTCTCATGGTATAATCAGACGACCCAGAGTGCTCTGACTTTCTGTCTCAATACTACCTACTTACATTATGATGTTAGTCTCACCATTGGGTACATATGCAAAATTAGTGACCCCTAAGGCTTCACACACCTCAAATTCTTGATGCTGCAATTCTGTTTTTAAATTAATTTTCCCAAAAGGTCAGAGCTATTAATTAAAAAGATTCTTTTTAGGGAGAGACCCATTGCTTAGTAAGTATAAAGAAAGATCTAGAGACTGAGGGATAAAAATTTCTCCCCAACTGAATGAGTCACCCAACATGTTAGTTCAAGAGAGAATCCAAATGGCTTTTTTWAAAAMMAAAMMAAAAAAAAAATCAAAGTATTATTACTTTAAAACAAAGCATTAGATGTGTCCTGGAGTACTTCTTTGAACATGAAAATAAAAGATAAGGGCATAGTAAAACTGCATGAGCCCTGCAAAATTAACATTTCCAGATAGATTTGCAAAGAAATTGTCATTTAGATGAAGGTAGATTCAAATGCTTAATGGAGTCCATTCTCCGGCCCATSAGCAAACTTGTGGGTATCTCTAAGTTCAAATGTGTTTTGTTCCTGACCTACTTTCACTTGGACCAAAACTAAATGTTCTGTCAACATTACTTCTTGGCTCTGTAACCTAGACACTTTGGACTCAATGTTTTTTTCTCTTTATAGCTCCCATTATTGCTTGTTAGCCCTTTTAAAACACACTTTGACTTGGATTTAATCATCTGGATCATCCACTTCCAGACTATTTTAGAAAGGCCCTTATAAATCTTTTCTCTTGTCCTAGCTCAAACCTATTTCCTGTCAATGACCATCCATTTTAATACCACATATGCTATTCATAGGACTGGGCTAAATGACTTGTCCTGCTCTTTTTTTCATTTGTTTACTCATTCATTCACTCATTCAACATTTACTGAACACCTCTATATACTGGATATAGTGCTAAGCATAAGGGTTATAGAAGCAAACAAAACACATATGCTTCCTCTTCCATTGGAACTTACAGTCCTGGACCAGGGAAACAAGTTGCCTAATCACACAAATAAGTATGATTAAAACTGTGATAAGTATTATAAAGAAAAAATTAAAAGACATAAGGCCTGGAATACCAGAGGTTATACATTGAAGAAGCAGAAAAAGCCTAAATAAACTGATACTAGTCATATTTGAACATGCTTAAACAGCTTTTTGAATTCTGAAATAACATTTGAGTTTGATTTTTTAAAAATTAGGCAAGTGAAAGACCACTAGTTATATAGTTGAACTTTGGGGTGCCTGTTATTTCTTCAGTTGTATCACATTAATTTTTGATAAAGAAAATAAGGTCTCTGAGACATAAACTTTCCATTCTTTTTACCATTATTTTTTTTTCTTTTTACAGTACTAGTATTGCCTTATCACTAAGCTACAACCCAGCCCTTTTAAAAAGTTTTTGTTTTGTTTTGTCTTGTTCTATTTTATCTTGAGACATGGTCTTGCTAAGTTGCTGAGAAAGGTGGCCTCAAACTTGCAATCTCCCTGCATTGGCTTCTAGAGCAGCTGGATTTACTGGCCTATGTCACCATGTCCAGACCTTGGTTCAATTATGTTAAAATTTTTAAAATAAGAATATACATGYCACATAAACAGCATTTATAAAACAAGATAGCTGAGAGTTTTAATAGTAAATTTTCTGGCTAATTTGAAAATTAATTAAAAAGACTGTTAGAAAAATACTTCAATATGAGATGTCATAAAACTAAAAAGATCCATTAAGTTACATGCTATCTTTACATTTCCATTATTATTTCAAAATGCATGCATTTCATGTGAGCCTCATTAAGTTCATTGGGAGGTATTGCTTTACGTCTTCCAGGAAACTCACTACTGGGTCTGAGCTTACTATAGAATTTCTAATTTTTGTCTAACATGCAGGTAAACACCAGAAACTTCCAATTTCATTAGTCAGAGTGCTGTCTGGGAGGTAAAGGAGTGAAGTCTTTGCAATGTCTTAATGTTTACAGGTAGGAGAAAGTTAAATCAATAACTTGACATTCATTTTGAACTTTGTGAGCAAAATCAGCTATTTAGTTGAGATGTTTTAACTTRATTAACACATCCTTTTCTCCATGGTGTCTAGAACAGGCATTTTTCATATATAATGTTATAAAAATTATTCATTAAATGAAACAGATTGGACTCCATATGAATCTATTCATGTATGATTTCCTTTCACATTTTATAACTAAGAAAAATTCTCTTCTATTTTTTTCCTTTGTTGTCTGTAGAGGACTGCTATGGTCTGAATATTTGTGTTCCCCTCCCAATTTACATGTTGGAATCCTAGTYCCCTAGGTGATGGTGTTTGGACGTGGATCCTTTGGGATGTGAAGAGGCCACGAGAGTTCTGCCCTCAGGATTGGGATTAGTGCCCTTGCAAAAGAGGACCCAGGATGAAGGTGCCATATAGGAAACAGAGAGTCTTCTGCACTGGGGCTTTGCTTTTGAATTTCCCAGCCTCCAGGACCATTAGCAATAAATTTATGTTGTTTATAAATTTCCCAGTCTAAGATATTTTGGTACAGCAGTCTAGCAGTCCAAATGGACTTTTAAAATAGAGCTTTAAAGTGCAAAGTGTAAGAAGATTTTCTGCCTATGTGGAATACAATCTCTAGTATTTTTCTTATTGGGGCTAGTGTGAGACTATTTTCTTTCCTTCTGGATTTTTCAACAGAGAACAGACTGTGACCTAGTCTGCCTCCACGTGGAAGAAGCCAGTAGCGACAGCTCACCAGAGCAAACCGACTAGAGAGAGGGCCTGAGAGCTCCTGTGCTCTCCAGTGGGCTCCTGGGTCCAGGCACAGCCAGCTGCAGCTCTGCTCCTGCCTACTCCCTAGGCTTCAGTCCATGAGCTGTGGTCAATAATATTAAATGCACACCAAAGTTTAGATGAAGCTGACAGGGGAGGAAAGACAAGAGGATACAGAACAAGCTGACGGTTGTTTTGGAAGATGAGTTCTGAAGCCACAGGAGGCAGTTCCAAAGTGTGCCTCAGTAACACATGCAGCTGATTTTGTCATTTTCCTCTGGCTTTGTGTTCTTGGACCCTCCTAGCTATTGTCATATTGTCACAGGTCCTGCCTGTGGTGGTTAATTTTATGTGTCAACATGGCTGGGCCACAGTGCCAAGATATGTAGCCAAACATCGTTCTGGTTGTTTCTGTGAGGGCTTTTTCTGGATATGACTAACGTCTAATTTAGTGAACTCTGAGTAAAGCAAATTGTCCTCCACCATGTGGGTGGGCCACATCAACCAGTTGAAGGCCTAAATAGAACAAAGACTGGCTTCCCATGAATAAGAAGAAATTCTACCTCTAGATTGCCTCTGGATTCCATCTGAAAGGCTTCTCTGGCCTCTGCTCTCCTGCATCTAATTTTGGCCTCTCCAAGCCCAACATTTAAGTCAATTCCTTAAAAATTTTGTTCTCTCTGTGTATACACACACACACACACACACACACACATATCTTGTTAGTTCTATTACTTTGGAGAAACTAATACACAGCCCCTTACAGTAAAAATTTTTGTATCCAATCAAAGATCACCAGACACACAGTACCCCTTAAAACTTGCCTATATTCTTTCTTAGAGACTTGAGTAAATGCCTCTTAACTATTTTGTTGGTTTCAATAAAGCCTGTTAAAATTAAGAAGTGAGATTTGAAAGCTGATCAGTCTACTTGGGTTATGACAAATAAGAAATATTATCACAGCCGATTCTCAAAGAAATGAACAGCAGCCCTCTTTGCTAAGGTAGTATCCATTTTCAAAGATTAAACGTGGTCCAGGGGTTTTACTTCCTTATTAGTGGGATATAAGACTAAGATCAATCACACAGCTAAGAGAAGGTGCAAAGGAGACAGCACTATCAGGCACGGGCGACTTCCAGGGCAGTTGGCAGATTTCTGCCTTTATAATCACATGGTGCAGCCTGTTCAGCCTGGACAGAGCTGTTTCAGAGGGTGGTGAGATCATTATTCACCGATAAAAAGTTAGAATCACAAATCTTTATTCCTTTTATGTTATAGACTGGGCTGTGTTCTCCCAAACTAATATGTGTGATGTGAAGATAGGGCCTGTGGGAAGGTAATAAAGATTAAGTGAGGTCAGAGAGTGCCACAATAATCCAATAGAATTGGTGTCCTCGTAACAGGAGGAAGGGCTCCTGAGTACACAGCAAAAAAAAAAAAAAAAAAAAAAAGTGGTTGATTTCAAGCCAGAAAGAGAACCTTTACCAGGGAATGAATTTTCTAGCACCTTGATCTTGGACTTCCTGTCTCTAGAGCTACAAAATAATAAATTCCTATTGTATAACCCGCCCAGTGTGTGGTATTTTGTTATGGCAGTCCCAGTAGACGAAYACATAAAATATGTAACTATACTAAGGTTCAGACATTTGTCTGTCTACTTGTTCACAGTYTGCACCCTTATTAGACATGAGTTGTGGAAACAAGGCCCTGCCTGTCTGTTTTACTGTGAAATATCCAAAGAGCTGTGTAAATTGGACATGTAGTGGAGAGTTGTTAATTTCTCTAATTGGTCCTTCCAGTTCCTAACCAAATATGGCCTAACACAGTATCTGCAAAAGCTATACAACCAAGTCTTCTCTTTACACATTTGATAAACATGTCAAATTATCTCTACTGAGTGATAATTCAAGAATTCTAAAGGACAAGTAAGTATGTGCCTTAGAGTCCTCAAGCCTTCTGCATAAAATATCATCATTGTCTGTGAGGATTCTAGCAAATTCCACACGAATGTCCATAAAAAGCTATACTGATCAAAAAATGAGAAAATCAGTTTTCTCTAATTGTAGAAAACAATGGTATTTATACTACTTGCCATTGTTGTTTTTTTTTTTTTCAGAACTTCTGTTTTTCTGTGACAAATTTTTGGGCTACAGTTAGGCCTTGCAATTCTACTACAAATGATTGACAGTGAATTAGACTGTGTCCTAGACAAATCAGTTAACACTTAAGGACTCCTCTTTACAGCACTTCAACTTGTGATGCCTCAAGTTTTTTTTCCATCATTAAATAAGGACCAATGATATGTGAAGAGTAACTTTGTATAGGGATACTTTTCAAAGTTTCAAGAAACATGCCCATTGAGGCCCAGGTAAGAAACCGATACTGAATATAGGGCTATAAAGACTGGGTGATTGATCACTTTATCATGATGAAGTTCTGTCTTGTTAATCTGTATCTTTACTCTTCTGAATCAGAGCATGTCTGATTTGGTGGGAAAAACATCATATACAGAAAGGTTTTTAAAGGATCACTCCTCAGAATTCAGGGAGAAGGTGGCTAATTGCATTTTTGTTTTTTAAATTCTTTTTTTTTTAGTTGTAGATGAACACAATACCTTTATTTTATTTATTTATATGGTGCTAAGGATCGAACTCAGTGCTCCATGCATGTAAGACAAGCACTGTATCATGAGCCACAATCCCAGCCCACTGATTGCATTTTTGAATTTTGTTCATTAAGCTAGTACCTGGCACACGGAGCATGAATACCAAGGATGAAAGAGCTGAGTCTAGAGCTAACTGCAATAGAGACATGTAGCCAGGCTTTGCCTCTTTCTCTCAGAGTTCTTAGGGGCAAAATGTTTGAGTATCATGTCTAAATGGGGTGTGTATCACTTTCCCATGGCTTCCTTTTCCCTAACATCAAGGTAAACTGCCTCCAAAGGAAAAAAAAAGGTACTTGTGCAACATTAGGACCTTTGAACATGATGTTGTACATCTAGAGATAGAAGAAAAAGACTGCATGAAATAAGACTACAAAAATTAGTTTAACTATAGTTTAGCCTATTGCAAGTATACTTATTCTGGAAAATGCTACAGTTAAATAAGGAAAATGTCACAGAAAAGAGAGCCTTGACCTTTGGGGAATGCTTGTTGCAGACTAAAAATTCTTATGTGTATTGAAGTTTTTAATGGAATTAATAAAGATGTCTTCTGTGTGTAAGATTACTTTAAAACCATGCAGATATCACTGCTATGGGTTTTCAAAGGGCTGTTTATTTTGTCAGGTACTGGAGATTGAACCAAGGGGTGCTCTACCATACCCACAATGCTTTTTATTTTAATTTGAAACARGTTCTTGCTATGTTGCCCAGGCTAACCTGTGGGAAGCCACCATGTCATGTGACCAGCATTTTCCTCTCCTGATCGGTTTGAGGCACTGTCCATCACTCCCAGTGATCTGGCCACTTTCACATGGCTGTGACAGTAGCCCTGATCTGATCTTGAGAATAGTAAAAATGCAACAAATGTGTCTTCATGCGTAGGCATACCTTCCTGCAGCCCCATGGGTCCAGCTACACTCACSTGTTCCTTTGTGATATAACCCCTTGCCCTGTTTGGGATAGAATGTTCCATGGGAACTCCCTTTTTGTGTCCCTTTCTCTTGCTCTGCCTGTGGGTGTGGCCTTCCTAGATGTCAGTCAACCTGCTGACAGCGGACATCATGAAGCTAGATTCAGCCCCTTGAAATTTGACTCCTTACCTCATTTGAATGGCTTCTCCTCAATAAAAGGGGTCAGCATGTGCTTGTGCACTCTCTCTCTTTCTGAGGACCCTTAAGGACAGAGGAGCCATCATAGCACCCTCAAAGAAAAAGGCATCTCTGTCTCTTGTGTGGTTATTTCGTGCAGCCCAGTTCCCCTGAAGTGACCCTGAGTGTTTCAGTCACGAGGAATGCKACAGTAACCTAGAACTTGTGATCCTCCTGCYTCAGCTTCTGGAGTRGCTAGGTTTACAGGCATGTTCTACTGTGCCCAGCTTCAAAGGGCTATTTAAAATGTCACTGAGTTCCAAATAGTTTTCCCCTTAGGCTTTCTCTCAGAMCAAACACTGAAGTACTACTCTAAACTTATGGTTGTGTCACACAATGTGGATGCTAAAAAAAAACATTGTCCTTTCACACTTTTTTTCTAATTACATATATTTTAGAGTCTCCCTTTCCTCAAACTTTTATCTAAAAATGCCCTCACTATTTTCCCTTTTTCTCAGATAACCTCCAACTTCCTTTCCTAATCCTTTAGAAAGAGTAGAGGGGTCTGCAGTTTCCCTGACCCCTCCTGTCCRAGCCAGTCAGCACTGCTCTTCTACCTCAGGACACTGGGTGGACCATTTCCTAAGGAGAGAGGGATGGAGGACCAGGAGGAGCAGGAAAGGTTCTTTGAAAAGGGACAAAGGTGTTCTGTGGCCCCCAGGTATGAACAGTACAACTCATCATCAATCAACAGCTGCACAACAAACATTTTACCTTTCTTGTTTTGTGTGGGTTTCTCATTCTGGATGACTTCTTAATGTCCACTTCAGTAGTATTTACACATCCAGGCTGGAAATGGAAAAACAGAGAAACAAAGGAATCTTTGGGTGTGAACTATCTGGCTAGTACCTTCATAAGTGACTCGCTCTCCAGAACCTGAGCAAATGCCATAATGACCCCAGTCACCAGCAGCACTTCCCAGAAGGTCACAGCCTCTTCCATCAGCAGTGGACAGTAATGAAATACACAACACCTTTATATTTCTCTGATACCTTTCTCAACTCCTAGAGAAACCAGAAAATATACTTAGGTTTTGCATGTAAAGTAGTTTACTGATATTTATAGCTGCTAATGGGATAGACAGAGCAAGAKTATCCAGAAAGGAATGGGGTAATAACCCCTAATGATATCTGCACACAAATTCCTGCAGAAACAGGCTTTCTTTATTAACTATGATACTACTTCTACTTATTTATTTGTTTGTTTGTTTGTTTACTGGTCCTGAAGATTGAATGCAAAGGTGTTGTTCCCACTGAGCCACATACCTGGCACTTTCTTAATTTTTTTTTTTTTTTTGAGACAGCGTCTTGTTAAGTTATGTAGGGTCTCCCTAAATTGCTGAGGCTGGCCTTGAAATTGCAATCCTCCTGCTTCAGCCTCCCAAATTGCTGGAATTACAGGTGTGTGCCACCACACCTGTCAGAAAACGACACTACTTTTAGATAGCTGCTTGTTTTTCCTAAGTTGGGAAACTAAAATTGTAAGTAGTTGAGGAAGCACAAATCCCACAGTGTATTTTTTTTAACGTATAACACAAGAGTTTATAGCCAAAAAGAGGAAGACAAAGAAAGAAACTGGTAGTCAACTATGCTTCTTCTTTCCCAGGCAGGAGAATCCCTTTAAACAGGAGGGCTGCCTGCTGCTGGCTTTCTGACAGCCTGGGGAGTGTTATTTTGCTAGAATTGCTGGTGGGTCACACAGAAACAATTAGCTGTGAGCCCCCTTTGTACTTGAAGGAAGAGAGGAAAGGTAGGAGGGAAGGAGAATGGGAGAAAGGGAGTGGGAGGARGAAGGAAGGAGGAAGAGGAGGAGGATAAAAGGGAAAGACAGACTATGAATGGGAAATATACCTCAAACTTTCCCCTCCCCCCCAAACAATCCTGGAAGCAGTAGGCAAAGGCTGAGGAATATGAATCAAAGAAGGAGACTCAGAAACACATGGTATTGAGAGCTAGGAAGGACTTCAACCTTTAGAAGTAATTAGAAATGGATGGTTTACATGAATTGTGTTTCCATGCTTTCAGATTTTTGGCCCAGGATTTAGGGATCTCTGGTATTAGTGAAAAAAATCAAGTTGTACATCTCTTCTCAACTATTCAATTTCTTCTCACAGGTTGCAAGAAAATTAAAAGCATGAGATGTTTGTGAAAATGAGTACGAAAGTGTTTTGTGGAGTTGGAATAGAGTTGGGAGGAAGGGCAAAGGGGCAGTGCTGGTATGATTAGAAGAATTAGTTGCTTTGTAGAATGAACACATGGAACATTTTCCTAAAAGAACTTTCTCCTTAAAGCACAGGCATCCTAAGAGAACTTCACCATTTTTTTTKTTGTTTTTGTACCAGGGATTGAACCCAGGAACACTTCAACACTGAGCCACATCCCTAGCCCTTTTTATTTTTTACTTAGAGACACAATCTTGTTAAATTGCTTAGGACCTCACTAAATTGATGAAGTTGACATTGAATTTGTGGTCCTCTTGCATCAGCCTCCTGAGTCACTTGGATTACAGGCATTCACCACCATACTTGGCAAAACATTTCTTAAATTATTTTCCACAAGGTTACGTGTAAACTATGGACACACACACACACACACACACACACTATAGTATGTGTGTTAAATAAACTACAAGTTTGGTTTGCATATTTAAATAGGAATAAAAATAGCTGTTAAGCATGGTGATCAGCTTGTTAGTATAGAGCAAAGGCAGAGCACCAAGCTGGGAAGGGGCACTGACTTACTGAGTGGTAGTGAGCAATTCACTTCCAGCATCAAGCTGATCAGTACCTGATATTCTCAACCTTTCTGTGTTCTATCTAAGCATTAGTTTTGTTTTAAAGGGCCCCAGTGATTTTAATATGCAGTCGGAGTTCACAACCACTGATCCAGAGGTAACAAAGATAATGTTTTAAAAATATTAAAGCATTCTGTTTTCATTTCCCTGTTCAATTTCTATTTTATTGCAGTCTTCCTTCCCTAAGCCTGACCCATTAGGGAAGTGAAGACGCTGAAATGCTTCATTCTCCTATTGATATGTCAATACCAATATATCAAGAGCCAAGCTTGATAAGATAGGTCATACAGATCTTCCTCTTTGTGTTGAAGGGTGGGAATGACTAGTATGTGATATTTAAGAAAAGGAAAACATGTCCCTTTGTAAGGTGGAAGGAAAGAAACAATGTTTCTTTTTTCATTTTTTTAAGTTTGCTGAGAGTTTTATTATGAACCTACTCAAAATTTATCACAAGCATCTTTTTGGCATCTCTTGAAAGAATCATTTATTTTTTCCCCTTTATTCTCTTAACGTGGTGAATTGCATCAGTTCATATTTTTATTATTAGTTGTTCAAAACTTTACAAAGCTCTTGACATATCATATTTCACACATTTGATTCAAGTGGATTATGAACTCCATTTTTACCCCGTATACAGATTGCAGAATTACATCAGTTACCCATCCACGTTTTTACATACTGCCATACTAGTGTATGTTGTATTCTACTGCCCTTCGTATCCCCCCTCCCCTCCCCTCCCCTCCCCTCCCCTCTCTCTAGGAAACAATGTTTCTTGTAGGTAGGATTTGCTGCAAGTATCCGTAGCAAGGGCACATATGTTCTGAGAAGACTAGTAGGTGATTGGAAGCCTGAAGTTAAAACAAAGACTGTAGATGTGCAGGGATTTCAGGCTGAGAGCAAATGTCTGAAGACAAATCCCAATAGTGAGTGCCAGGGAATGGTACTGTATAGCAGTCCTGGGGACAGACCACCGTTCCAACCTGTCTAAAGCAGAAATAACCAGGATCAAGAAAATGTTCTGTGGATGTCTGGCTCTCATTCCCCACTGCACACATCATATAAACAAAACCTCAATACCTGAAGCTCCACTCCCAAACCACTCTTAGGTGCCAAGAAAGTCTGAGGAAGACAGTAAATGTGATCATCCAAAAGTGACTGAGTTATCTAAACTGATGATATAAATTATGGCAGCGCATAGAGAATGGTCATTGAAACTATCCTTCAAACAGGTTTCTGAGGAGGAAATAGATCAGTTATAGACAGCATAAGATTGTGTGTGTGTGTGTGTGTGTGTGTGTGTGTGTGTGTATGTTATATTTTTACTTATTTGAGGACTCTGAATTAATTGAATTTTAAAATTCTTCCCATAAAAAGCTAGGATTCTAAACCAATTTGACTTCAAATTAAATGGGATAGTTAACAAATGGCATAATGAATTTCACCAACTACTGAAGGCATAAAGTAGAATTTTCCTTCAATATCTGACTTGCAGCCCAAAAGAGAATTAACATTTTTATCTCCAAATTTCAAAAACTATGGCTTTTTAAATTTGATTAATAAATCATTAACAGCTATCTAAAATTCCTACTTGTGTCAATTATTAACAATAGTCATAAGCTAATTGACTGTAAGAGCAAACATCACAGACTGAACCATTAGATTTGTCTTATAATCCAGCTTCCATCCCTGAAAAATCACTTTTGCCAGTTCAAAATTGATCATTAATATCTAAATGGTTAAAATAATATAACCGATAAGCTGGACCTGAGGTGCCAGTCTCAGTGTCCTCAAGTTTTCTGTCATTTCTAAAGAGCCTCTTGAGACAGCAAATGGTTTAGCAGATCTATGGTACCTAACTTATCTAGGGGATTCTTAAAAAATAAAAAAAAATAAAAACTTAGATGGCTGGATGTAGTGGCCCCCTGTAATCCCTGCATTTTGGGAAGCTGAAGCAGGAGGATCACAAATTTGAAAGGGCTGAGGTTGAAGCTCAGTGGTAAAGCTCTTTCCAAGCCATATTCGAGGCCCTGATTCAATCCCCAGCATCACAAACAAATAAACAGAAAAAAAAAACAAAACCAAGAACAACAACAAAAACTTAGATGTCCAAGTTTGTCTAATATTTTTCTGAATAATTAAGACTTAGCCCTGATAACCTCTGAATAACTTCTTTCAAAAGTCAGGCACTGAGCCAGGTGCTGTGGTGCATGCCTATAATCCTAGCTACTCTGAAGGCTGAGGCAGGAGGATCACAAATTCAAAGCCAGCCTCATCAAAACCAAGGCCCTAAGAAACTCACTGAGACCCTGTCTCTAAATAAAATACAAAATAAGGCTAGGGATGTGGCTCAGTATTAGAGTGCCCCTGAGTTCAATCCCTGGTACCCCCTCCCACCCCTGAAAAAAATGTCAGGCACTATGGTGAATGAAACATGGCAATGATTTTTTTTGGCATTCTTTAATTATTCAAGGAATATTTCTTTATGCTTTCATTAATTAATTGTCAGATCTTATGATGCATGATGATATACAGAAATGAAGGCATGATATATATTTCAATAACCTCCTAATACAACAAGACCAACAGACACAAAATGGGAACAGAGCAACTATGTGGAAGTTGACACAGGACATTATATGATAGGAAGTTTCAGACGTCCATTCTCACTGCAGGTTCTTCCCAATAGAGAAGATAAATACATTTCAAAATTTTATCTTAAGTAATTATTCTTTATCCCAACAAGACCATGCTGTTCTTTGTTATTGAAAAAAAAAGCAGTTATCTTTTTAAAGCATATATAATAGGTGCCACTAGCTGGCACCAGATTCACATAAAATGTTATGCATAAATTGGTTTTCTACAGAACTAGATATATCTTCTCAATAAGATATAAATAACGTTACCATTATTAAGTAAGTGCTCCATAAAATTGTTCAAATATGTACTATTTTCTGGAAACAGTATTAAGTACATAATATTGTTGGACTTAAGGAATA